GCTGAAGCCTACCTTGTAGGATTTTGAGCATAACCTTGCTAGTGTGTGAAATGAGTCTATAACCATAGGGGTTTGTAAACTTTTACAATCTTGCAAATTGTATCATTCCAACATCTGCTCAATTTTCATCTTTTCATCTTTTGTTATGTTTCTTTATTTGCACCCCTAAATAATTTTGTATTGGACCCAAATTTTTCAATTTAAATTCTTTTTTCAGCTGCTTTTCACAGTAGGCAATAACACCTCATCATAATGCAGATTTTTCTTTTGTGTAAAGCCCTGAGCCACCAACCTCGCTTTGTACCTAAAATCCTCATTGTTTGTAGTTTTCTTTTGAAAACCCACTTGCTGCCAATCACCTTATGTTCTGGTGGAAGCCTAGTCTCTGTGAAGACCTTGTGGTCATCCATTGATTTCATTTCCTCTTTCATGGCCTCCTGCCATTTCTTCTTCTCTACATCTGGAAGTAACATTACTTACTCATAACCTTTGGGCTCCTGACACACATGCCATACCTTTATTTCCCCTACACTAAACCTTGTAGGTGGAATCCCTTTGTTAGCCCTCTCAGATCTCCTGGGGGTTTGTGGCTCTTCCTTGATTTGTGGCACCTTCTTAATTTCAATCTCACTTTCTGACTCACTGCACTGCCCATCGTCCTCTTCTTCTTCTTCTGTCATGGACCAGCTCGTGCTTTCTTCAGCCTCTTCTTCTTTTGGCTCTAACTGTCTATTCTCACTTCTTCTTGTATCTGTAATGGGTATGAAAACCTGAGAGTTACCATGAATCCTATCCCAATTTTCATGCTCACAGAAACTAGCTGACCTTGATATCACTACATTCCTGTTTCTGTCTTAAAAGCAGTATGCTTTTGAGCCTCTTTCATATCGTAGAAATTTCATTTTCTTTGCCTTTGGTTTTCCCTTCCTTCTGATCTATTTTGGGACTTGCACCCATGCACTGCACCCAAACACCCTCATGATGGCTCTTTCCCATACAACATGAAATAAGGGGTCTGCCCTATCGTGGATGACATCAATCTGTTCAAAATATAATTCGCTGTAAGCAGGGCTACTCCCCACAGACCATGACTCATGTTAGCGTCAGCTAACAAAGCATCTTTCGTAGTTTGCAGAACGCAATTTCTTCGTTCTGCCACTCCATTTTGGAAGGGTGAGTAAGTTCTAGTTTTCCTGTGATATATCCCATTTTGTTGCAGCCAACCTTGAAATTTGCTTGACATGAATTCAGAGCCTCTATCTGTTTCAATTTCCACCACCTTGTGGCCATAACGCCTCTCAACAAAGTTCAGCCAATTTCTAAAGTTATTAAACATTTCTGCTTTTGTCTTTAAAGGGAAACAAAATGAGTACCTTAAATAATCATCAACTATTACCAACACATATTTTGCTCCACCCAAGGATGGGGCGAAAGTTCCAATCAAGTCAGCACACACTAGTTGAAAAGGCTGACTAGTGCATTCTTTACTCTTAGGGGACACTTTAGATTTCGCCTGTTCACAAATGTTACAGTCTAAATAGTTTCTACACTCTTTTAATTTAACACCTTTTGCCATTGTTTGCATTTTTGAAATGTTCTAAAATTCACATGACCTAATCTTCTGTGCAATAAATGTGCACACTGGTCATGCTGTGTATGTGTGTCACTTTGCCTTTTACATTTCAGTACATAAAAATTATTCTCTTGTTTTGCTCTTGCACAAACATAGT